GAGCCTGGAATGTCTGCATTGTTCATTCTGGACCTTATTTTGAAATTGTCATATTTTTTAGTTTTCGTGAAATTGGCCAAATTGCAAATTTCTGACCACATTATTAGGTAGTTGAAATCAGTAAATGGGCAGTTTCTTGTACTCAATCGATAGAAAAAATGAAGTTCTAAAGAAATAGCTATGAGTTTGGGCGACTGGAACAATGGAATTAGCCGAAAATAGGGCTCAAAGTGGGCGAAATCGCCGATTTGTAAACAGCGCCGAGGTCGCTAACTTCGCGAGAGCATAATTCCGTCAGTTTTCCATCAAATTTCGTTTTTTTGGTGTCATTACAATCGGGAAAAGATTCTCTATCATTTCATAAGAAAAAATCATTTTTTTTTTTTTTTAAATTTTGCGACACCAGGAGACACCTCAGGATTGGGGGTTGCGACAGTCAAAGGGTTAATCGAAATTATCGTTAGTCGAGTTAATTTTCCCCATAAGAAATAATGGAAATCAAATTAATCCGTGCAAGACACCCAAAAGTATTGAAAAAAAAATTTTTACCACATGAAATATTAATTTTAATACACACAAACTGAAGAAGACATGTACAATTACATGACACTTACCTTTATTGAAGATCTGGTGATGATTGATGGGATGGGAGGAGGGGAGACTGTGGATGGTGTTAGTGTTCAGAAGGGGAATCCCCTTCCATTAGGAGTTGAGGTGTCAAGTCCTTTTCTGGGGTTATTTCCCTTCTTTTAATGCCACTAGGACCAGCTTGAGAGTCACTGGACCTCTGTCGCACAACAAATCTGTCCATAGAGGCCTGTACCTCCCGTTCCTTTATGACATTCCTAGAGCGTTTCACAACATTGTCAGTGTCACAATTAAACACTTGTTCAGGTTTCAATTCTTCACTGTCTATGTACTCCTTGAATTCCTGCACATATTTATCAGCTACTTTTTGGTCCAAACTGGCAGCCTCATCATGCCTTATCACACTATGTATGCCACTATGATTCTTAAATCTCTCAAACCAACCTTTGCTGGCCTTAAAATTCACTCACATCACCACTAGTTGCTGGCATTTTTCTAATTAAATCCTCACGCAACTTCCTAGCCTTTTCACATATGATCGCTTGAGAGATGCTATCTGTTTTTCATTTATCCACACCAATAACAGTCTCTCAACATCTTCTATTACTTGCGATCTCAGTTTCGAAAACATAGTTGCACCTTTGGCAAGAACAGCTTCCTTGATCGCCGTTTTCTTGGCCACAATAGTAGCGATGGTTGATTGGGGTTTTGTGTACAATCTGGCCAGCTCAGAGACATGCACTCCACTTTCATACTTAGCAATGATCTCTTTCTTCATATCCATAGTAATTCTCACCCTTTTTGCTGTAGGGTTGGCACTAGAAGCTTTCTTGGGGCCCATGGTGACTTATTTTGCAGGTGCAAACGCTAAAAACACTGTGATAATATGAAATGTTCCGATTGTATGTTTGGATGGGACCGGTGGCTGGCTGGCTTGTAAACACTGGCCACAAGTGGATGCATCTCAGATGGAACGAATCGTGTTGGTTGAGTTTTTTTTAGCACTAATCGAGGCAAAATTTTTGCGTTAAAATGTATTGCTAGTCGGATTTAACGTTAAACAATGCCATTGTTGGTCGAGGGTCCACTGTACTTGCAACATCTACCATATTGCTCCCCTATCCACTCTATCATATGCCTTTTCTAAATCCATAAATGCAATGAAAACTTATCTACCTTTATCTAAATACTGTTCACATATATGCTTCAATGTAAACACTTGATCTACACATCCCCTACCTACTCTAAAACCTCCTTGCTCATCTGCAATCCTACATTCTGTCTTGCCTCTAATTCTTTCAGTAATAACCCTACCATACACTTTTCCTGGTATACTCGGTAAACTTTCTTCTTTCAACACACTGGGTGTATCCACCAAGGCGGGGTGGCCCAAAAGGAAAAACAAAAGTTTCTCCTTTTACATTTAGAAATATATACAGGAGAAGGGGTTACTAGCCCCTTGCTCCCGGCATTTTAGTTGCCTCTTACGACACGCATGGCTTACGGAGGAAGAATTCTGTTCCACTTCCCCATGGAGACTCGGTAAACTTATTCCTCTATAATTTTTACAATCTCTTTTGTCCCTCTTCCCTTTATATGAAGGAATTATACATGCTCCCTGCCATATATATAAATACAGTATTTGGTGGGATACGGCTGGGTTGTTGAAAGAAGAAAATACAGTACAGTATACTGCAAAGAATTAAGAAAGCATCCGTTTTCTCAAAAAGCAAGAAATTAAATCAGTGGAAATGTTTTTCAGTTGCTACGGGTAATGTGCTGTATAGCAAAATAAATGAGAGTATTGTTGTGATTGTTTTTCTCTGTAAAGGTGCATTAAACATAAATTTAAGAAGTGCATAGAATTTTTTTCACAAATTTATTAAAATATAGGTAGTAGGTTGGTAGACAGCAACCACCCAGGGAGGTACAGTAGGGCCCCACTTATACGGCAGGTTAGATTCCAGGCTACTGCCGTAAAGTGGAAATCGCCATAAAGTGGAACACCCTTTTTTTCCACTTATAAATGCATACAAACACTAGATAACAAATTTACACTAACATATATTAAGTTAGCAATAGAACCAGGCATCAAAAAATAACAAAAAAGTACAATACACACACAGTGCACTCATTACTTACCTTAAAATATTTATAGTCTTAATCTAAGGTGAGACAAGTAGTATTTATTGTAAGAAATCAAGTGTGGTATGTATAGTAGTCAGCCGGGCTACCGTACCAGGCCACATAATATTCTATTACATTTAAGCAGCTTAGCGCTTCTTTTGATTATAATAATAATAATACATTTACAGTTTACTCATTACTTACCTTAAAATATTTGTAGTCTTAATCTAGGGTGAGATGAGTAGTATTTATTGTAAAAAATCAAGTGTGGTATGTATGGTAGTCAGCCGGGCTGCCATTCCACCAAAACATACTATTCTATGATATTTAAGCATCCCAGAGCGATAAAATGTATATACAGTTCACTCATTACTTACCTTAAAATATTTGTAGTCTTAATGTAGGGTCAGGAGTAAGGAAATGAGATAAAACGAATAAATGAGAGAGAGAGAATGAGTGCATGAGAGAGGACTGGCGCACAGAGTTATGTAAACAAACCAGGCAAACGTAAGTTTTTTTAAACAAAAAAAGTGTACACGTCTGGTTTGTGTACAAATTACATTGTGTACAAGTTGTCTCTACATTGATACAGTAGAATAAATAAAGAAGAACACTCCCATTCTCATGTAACATCATTTTGAGAAGAAATGATGCTCTGAGTGAAGGCAATGGAAATAAGTCACTCTGACTTTTTTGGGTTATCCTAGGTTCTCTACACATATGCTGTTATGTATGATAATCTATGTAAGTATTTGTGTATACCTGAATAAACTTACATACAAAAGGAATAATTTTCTACAGTTACCCCCAGTAACACATTTTCTCTTATGTTAGATTAGAGAAAATGTTATTCTTGCCGTCACTTGTATAAGTTATCTGGCTACTCATCTCATATTTATGTTTATTTATTTTATTGTGGAGCTGATGGTGGTACAGCAGCAGCTGACAGTGGTGCAGCAACAGCAGCAGCTGATGGTGGTACAGCAGCAGCTGACGGTGGTAAAACAGCAGCTGACGGTGGTGCAGCAACAGCAGCACCTGACCGTGGTACAGCAGCAGCCGACGGTGGTGCAGTAACAGCTGACCGCGGCACGATAGTATTTCGATTGTACACCTACCATCCGACTTACGACCTGCTCGACTTGTGACCACTCGACTTACGACCGTGTTTTTTTTTGTCAAATTTCTGGGAAATAAACAACTATCTGTGTTGTACACAGTGTTTATCCTAAACCTTACAGTATAAAATACAGTACTAACAGCATAAAAAGTAAAGTAAAACATGAAATACCAAAATAAAACAATAAAATAAAGTCATTACAAAAATGTGATGTTGATATTCAGTAGTAAAGTTCGACTTACATCCATTTCGACTTACGACCGGTTTCTCGGAACCAAACTCGGTCGTAAGTCGGATGGTAGGTGTATTTCTCACCCTTTTTACCACAGGGTTGGCACTAGAAGCTTTCTTTGGGCCCATGGTGGCTTATTTAGCAGTTACAAGCACTAAAAACAATGGAATAATACAAAATACATCGCATGTACGCGTGAAACTGTCTGCCCTGACTTGTAAACAATGGCACAATAGCTGAAGGCAGGGCAGCTGAGGCGCTCAGGATGGATGGACAGGTGGATGCATTTGGGACAAATGTCCTTACCCGAGTTTTTCATCGTTGGTCGAGCCAATATTTTTATGCAAAAGCGCATCGTTGCCCGATTTTATTGTTAGTCGATGCCATCATTGGTCAAGGGTCCACTGTATATATGTATGTATGTATGTATGTATGTATGTATGTATGTATATATATATATATATATATATATATATATATATATATATATATATATATATATATATATATATATATATATATATATATATATATATATATATATATATATATATATATATATATATATATATATATATATATATATATATATATAATATATATATATATATATATATATATATATATATATATATATATATAAATATATATATATATATATATATATATATATATATATATATATTAATATATATATATATATATATATATAATATATATATATATATATATATATATATATATATATATATATATATATAATATATATATATATAATTATACATACACATATGACGTTCAGTCTCCAAGGTAAATATTAGTAGAGTAGTTTAGTAGTCATGAACAACCCCTTGGTAAAATGAATGCTGACAAACAATACATGTATTCACCCTCTATCACCATTCCAGAACAAATACAATGTAATATACTCACCCTTCTTTCAAAACTCTGTTAGCCTCTACAATGAAATCTTTGATATTGGTACCCATGAGAGAAAGACAAAACACTACAACATCCACAGAGGCTGAGTTCAGTGGTGTATGTGCCATGTCACATGCTGTAACTCTGGAATTTGTTGCTACCAAGTCAAGGGAATGAACTTTCTGCTGTGGTACAAGGAGGGAGAGAACAGCTTCGCCACAACCAAAGTCAGCCACCACCCATTCTTTTGGCCTGAAATTTTTAGGCACTCTTACTGTCAAAAATGTTTACATAAGAAATTTAAAGTGGAAGTGACTACAAAGAATATTCTTACATATTAACTCACAATGAACGAGTTCAACAGACTAACTAAATTTAATACTAATTAAATTTATGTTAGTGGCAAGAATCTGTTTACTCTTAAATTAATCAATGATAAGCAAGTTGACATAAGCAAAATGAAAGACAGTATGCTTTTTTTTCTACCTCACTTAAGTGAAAAGTTTGTATACTGTATATACCAGTGTATAGGTGGATCTTTTAAGATCAAATTTTGAAAGGCTGAAATTCGGACAAGTGAGGGGCCTACCTACACACACTCAACAACTATTACTTCAGCACAGCAATGTATAAGCCACACCCAGTAACCATAATCCACCTTAAATATACAAATAAAATTGATAATATCCAATAGTTCATGCCAGCCTCTTCCCTCACCTTGTTTGCACAGCACAGAATAGAGCACTCCAGTAAGCCTACTGGCCCATGCCAGGAAGGTTCTACTCAGATCCAGGGCAAGCCCTGAATCTGAGTAGGTTGAATTTGAATACCATGACTGGAACGAGGAGAAGAAGGAGGCAGCAGCAGTAGTAGTAGTAGTGGCGGAGGTAGAAGTAGTGATGGGGAAGTAAGGAGGAGAAGCCAGTCAAATACTAAGAAAGGGGAGCACTGCAAGGGAGCTAGGTGCCCACAGAGGGAGAGCAAGAACACAGAGGTCGGGGGGAGGGGAAATAATGAAATAAATAATGAAGGAACAGAAACACAAGGCAGAAGAAAGAAAGACAACCCAGAAGAGAAAAAAAAGGAAAGAGGAAAGGAGAAGAGGGAGAAGAAGAAAAAGGGGAATTCAGGTTAAGTCATGGGTGTTCTGAAGTTTGGAACATTTTACAATGTAGTGGGAGAGGAAGGCATCTACAGAGACGAACCCAGGACTAAGATTCATACAAGGAAAGTTGTGTATTAGGGAGGATTCAACCAGATGGCGACTGTTAAAGCTGGAAGTAGGGAAGACAGTTTTAGCAGAAGACCAGTCAATAGGATGGCTGTGATCTCTGACATGACAGAAGAGAGCATTGTTAGTGTTGGCAAGCCTAACACTATTTTTGTGCTCCCTAAGTATGCCAGAAAGAGATCGGCCAGTTTCTCCAAAGTATTGAAGAGGACAGGAGGAGCAAGAAATAGAGTAGACACCAGGAACATCTGTAGAGGGAGGAGAGGTATGGATGAGATTAGTGCGAAGAGTGTTAGTCTGGCGGAAAGTAAGCTTGATGTCTAAGGAACGGAGAGAGTTGTTGAGATTAGAAAGACCGGAAATGTAGGGAAGGCAGAGGACAGAAGAGTTCCCAGGAGTAGAGAGTTTGGGAAAGAAGAAATTATGTTTAGCATGTGAGAGGGCAGTCTATGAAATGGGAAGGGTAGCCAAGACAGGAAAACGAATTATGAAGAGTGGAAATTTCTGCTTGAAGGAACTGAGGATCAAAGATGCGGAGGGCACGGAGAAAGAGAGGAGATAAGAACACTCTTCTTGACAAGGGAAACATGATAGGAAAAGTAGTGAATGTACATGCCACTGTGCATAGGTTTGCGGTAAACGGAAAAGGATAAACCTGTATCTGAGCGGTGGAATGGACATCAAGGAAAGGAAGCAAGGAATTAGATTACCATTCAGTTTTAAACTTAATGGAAGGGGCAAGATTATTAAGAGCTTCAAGAAAAGGTTGGAAGAGACTAGAGTCATGAAGCCACAGAGCAAAGATGTCATCCACATAGAGGAGCCAGAGTGAAGGTTGCACATCGATGGTAGGAAGAAGAATAGTCTCAAAGTATTCCATGTAAAGATTAGCAAGGACAAGAGAGAGAGGAGAGCCCATAGCGACACTGAAGGTTTGAGAATAATATTTCCCTTGGAAGGAAAAGGAATTAGAGTCCACACAGAGGCGGATAAGATCAAGAAAGACATTAATAGGTATAGGGAGATGAAGAAACCCTTCATGGGCCTTCTCTCTAAGAAAATCAAGGACATCATCAAGAGGGACATTGGTGAAGAGGGACTCAACATCAAGACTAAGCACCTTACAGGTCGAGAGAGAGCGAACCCATTCAATGAAGTCTTGAGAGTGACAGAGGTGGGCAGGAGAAAAAGTACCAAGAAAGGAGTGAGGGTTTTGGCCAGCCAAGAAGCAAGGGAATAAGAGACAGAACCTCTAGAGGATATAATAGGACGTAGAGGAATATCAGGTTTATGAGTTTTGGGAAGGCCATAGAAATAAGGAAGAGAGGGACAGATGACACGAAACCGTTGAACAAGGTCAAAGTCAGGAGGACAGAGGTCGGAGAGAGTCCTTAGTTTCTTGTTGAAAGTTCTCTTGATGCGATCAAGAGGGTTGGAAACGAGATGAATGTAGGTACATGAGTCAGAGAGCAAGACATCAGCTTTAGGGAGGTAATCCTCGCAATCAAGGATAACTACCGAATTACCTTTGTCAGAAGATAGTTTGACAATGCTAGTGTTAGATTTAAGAGAAGAAAGGGCAAGTTGGTAACGGCGCAGAAGGTGGTGGTTCTTAGAAAACAGACTATCAAGAGCAGGAAGGAGTGTGCCATGAAAAGTGGACAAGTCAGGAAGATTACGGGAGCGAGACTGACGAAAAGACTCAAAAGAGCTAATCAGGGCAATACCAGCGCAAGGGGTAGGAGAAATGGCAAAGGAAAGGCCAAAACCAAGTTCAAGCTCATACTGAGAGAGTGAGACAGAAGACAAGTTAGTAACACAGTCATTGAGGGAGAATTTAGACCGAGGGCTAGCTGAGATGAGACATTGAAGTTTATTCTGTAGTTTAGAAGAATGAATTTGTGTATTCAGGCGAGCAGTGTCAAAGACAATGGTAGAGAGAGAAGGTTACAGAGATCTTGTGGTAGAGCCGCAAAGAGAGCATGCTGACGCTGACAGAAAGTAAAGAAGGCATCTTCAACCTGAGACTTAGTAGAAAGAATGAGCTGTTGAAGTAGGAGACAGGCATGATCAGGAAAGGGAGTGCCCAGTGGGTTGGGTTTCAGGAAATGGGAGAAGGAAGGGGGCAGAACTTGTTCAGCAAGACAGTCACGTAGGAAGCGAAGCTGATTCTTACGACGCCGAGTAGCAATAAGAGCAGCCTCATAAGATCGAAAGAGGGGTTTAACCCTTTGAGGGTTTTGGTCGTACTAGTACGTTTTACGCGTAGGGGTTTTTGACGTACTAGTACTCATAAATTCTAGCGGCCTCAAATCTAGTGGGAGAAAGCTGGTAGGCCTTCATATGAAAGAATGGGTCTATGTGGTCAGTGTGCACAGTCTAAAAAAAATCCTGCAGCACACAGTGCATAATGAGAAAAAAAAAACTTTGATCATTTTTTTTAATAAATCAGCGACTTTGCAGTGTATTTTCGTATGGTTATTTATTGTTGTATTCTAGTTTTCTTGTCTCATTTTATAGAATGGAAGCATATTACAGAAATTGAGATGATTTTGACTGGTTTTACAATGAAAGATGCCTTGAAATGAGCTCAAAGTAGCAGAAATGTTCGATTTTACCCCAAACTTCAAAAGTAATCAAATCGTGCCAAGCGTGCAATACACGTCAACTGGTGAGTCTAATATTCTTTTACAAGTGCACCAATAATATTTATACCATTTTTTACACTAATGCAGTAGTCTGCATAACAGTAAATCTTATATTTTTTGTGCAGAATAAAATTCAAAGTGAAAGCAAAGAGAATATAAGAGAGGCCTTGAGACGTGACTATGACTAGAGGAAATGTCATAAGTGACCAGGAAGTCTTTCTGGTTTATCTGACCTATTCGGAAATTGGCATCTTTGAAATTTGTGTGAAATTTGGCAAAATTGCTAAATTTCTGACCACTGTACTGGATAGTTGAATTTATAAATGGGTGGTTTCTTGCACCCATTCGATAGAAAAAATGGAGTTCTAGCGAAATATTCATGTTTTTTGTCGACTAGTACAGTGAAATTGGCCGAAAATGGGGCTCAAAGTCGGCAAAATCGCCGATGCGTAAACATCGCCAAGACCGCTAACTTTGCAAGAGCATAATTCCGTAAGTTTTCTATCAAATTTCAAACTTTTGGTGTCTTTATGATCGGGAAAAGATTCTCTATCTTTTCATAAGAGAAAATAATTTTTTTTTTTTTTAAATTTGGCCGACCCTGAGAACGAGTTTCGGAGAGGGCCTGTCGACCCTCAAAGGGTTAAAAGAAGGAAGAACATTAAAAAAGTTTGAAAGAATATGATGCTTAACTGCAGGGTTCATAAAGCTCCTCTCTTCTATGTGCGGGTTATCTGTGTATTTTCATTTCTTTTTTTTTCCCAAGTTTTGGTTAGAATATATTTTGACTTATCCACAATATATGTAAAAATTTAATGATTTTTTGGCAAATATCAGGGCTCAACCTATACATAGTCGGATTATATTCGGGTATATACAGTAAGTAAAACCATTTACAGCTGTATAGAGACAGCAAACTATCAATATTTGTGAGTGCATCAATTATGATTTGGTAAATATGGAACAGTACATATTTTATATTTGATAGTGGTTTTGGGGGTCATTACTCCCACAGCCAGGTCTCAGATCAGGCCTCCTAACCTGAAAAGGAAATAATGTATTATCGTAGGGGTTCTTAAATGGAGATATCGAGAGTTGAAGGTAGACACACTTGTTGGATGGTTACGATATATATATTGTCAGACTGTGATGATGGGAAATGGAGCCCAGCCTCTGCCTGTCTTAGCCTGGATGTCTACGCCGACTGAGACCAGGGCAGAGGTACGAACGTACACATGCGCATCCCGTGACGTCACACAAAGTCACAGGCCTAAAAGGGATCTCCTATCTAAAGCACATGGATGATACTATATGCTATGCTATATAACACAGGGATCAGCAACTATGCTGACAGCTCGGTCATGTTACGTATG